AATGTAATTATCTGGGTGTAATTTCAGATCTCTTAATTCAGAGCAGTGTAGAATGGCTCCGTGCAACCTACGTTTTTAAAAAGCCTTCCGGGTGATTGTTTCATCTTCTATAGTTTAAGAGCAGCTTGGTTATAGATGCAATACTCTAGAAAGGATTGCTCTCAAAGTTAGAGGAAAAACGTTACCATTTTTCTTCTTAAGTTAAGGCACTGGCATCATGGGCTTCAGAAACATATCAATCATCTTCCAAATATATCTTGAGTCTCTTATTTAAATGCTCTGTATGTCCATTTGGATGGAATTTCTAAGCATTTACAGAGAAGTGGTAAACTAATGTTTGGTATTAGTAAGCTGCTTAATGGTTCATTAAAATAGTATCTGAGTTTATAGAGGACAGAAGAAACTTTAAAATAGACCATTCAGCTTGGATGCTGGTTGGCTCATGCCTTTAATCCTAACTACACGGCAGGCTGACAATATTGGGATAATGGTTTGAGGCAAGCTAGCCCAGGCATAAAGAAAGTTCACAATACTTCTCAACAAAGAGCTGGATGCAGTGGCACATTCCTGTTACCCTGGCTACTGGGAAGGCTAACATAGGTAGATCACATACAAGGGTGTACCCAGACAGGAACTGAGACCATATCTCAAAAGTAATGAGCAAAAATCAGTCTGGAGCTGTGGCTCAGCGGTAGTAGTGCCTCTTAGCAAAGGCCAGGGCTTGAGTTCAAACCTTAGTTTGATCTTTTTTTAAAAATCTCATCCACATCAAAATGTTCTAATGCTGCTACCCAGGATTGCTCAGGGCAACCTCAATCCCTTTGAAGGTTCTGAAAGCATGTCATTGGCTGAAGTTACCTACCCTCAGTGATTGAATGATCCCTAAGATTTTTGGCCTCTTGGTAGAAGGAACAGTGGTATAGAAGTTAGAAGGCTTGGATTATATTATTCAGGTCTATGTGTTCTCATTAATAAAACAATGGCTTACCTCATTAGCAGATTTATATAAATAAATAAATAAATGTATATATACATATAAATAAATATATGTATATATACATATATATATGTATATATACATATATTTATTTATTTATTTATAGGGCTGGAAATGTGGCTTAGTGGTAGAGTGCTTGCCTAGCATGCACGAGGTCCTGGGTTCAATTCCTCAGTACCACATAAACAAAAAATAATAATAAAATATAGCATATATAAAATATATACTAGAACTACATTTCCATTATAACCCCAGGCTTTGTTTGCTCTGCTGTCTGTTTCTGTGATTGGCCATGGTGCAGTGTATCCAGTTGTCCTGCCTGTCTGAGGGCACCCTCTCATCTCCATTTCTATGCTTGCTTCTCTATTCATACATTAGGCTCACTGTCTCTAACAGTGTAAGATAGAGGATGCTTCCAAGAAAGGGACAGCACGGGCCATTCACACATTTCTTTTATATGAGACAATTATTCATTCAAATACACTTAATCAATTAACAACTACGTGCCATTGATTACCATGCTGAACCCTGCAGAAACCCATAATGAAAACAGTCAGACATCTAAATTCTAAGGCAGGAGAATACCATGGGAGAAAATAATTCAGCCAATCACATGTAAGCTAAGACAGAGGTAAAAAGCTTCCATTAGGAATAAGCCCTAGGAGACCATGAAGGCCTGCAATATGAAACACAGGAAGGAAGGAAGTCCAGAAAGCCTCTGGGAGGAGGCAAGATTTACTTAGAAAGGAAGAAAAGATGATAAATGGGGGTAAAGGATCAGAGTACAGAAAAGGGCAGGGCAGGGAAGAGCTTGTTCCAGTATCTGGTGGTTGGACTAGCTTATGTGCTTGGCAGCTAGAATTCTGTAACAGTCCCTTTCCTCTGAGAGATCATTTAATTCAAAACTAGAGAAAGGAAATTCTCTAGTTTCCCAGAAAGTTTAAGGGGTTGGCCTAAGGCCAAACCACCAGGGAATTGATGGGAGAACTCACCCATGCTTCAGGGTGGGATAAGAATTATTATTATTTTTTCCCCCGGGCAGTACCAGACTACCTTGATTCAACTTTGGGGACTTTTACTCAAAAATTGTTTTCATTTGAGCATGAGAGCTTTTTGAACCTCAGTTTTCCTTAGGACAAAGTAGGGTCAATGTCTGCTGCATAGTGTTGTGTTTGAGATTTAATGAGGTAATGTGGCCCAAGGCCTGTTACATCATAACTGCCCAATAAACATAAGCTCTTTTATCTCCCACCTGGTGCCCTTTGCCCATGCAAAGCTGATGGGAAGTCCAAAGCATGGCAAAGGTTAAGGGGCTGCAGGGAAGGAGTGTAGCTGAGGCTTAGTTAGGGGTTATACATCTAAGCTATCCCACTGGAAGGAATAAGAAAAATAAGGGCCACTAAAAGTGGTCAAGGACAAACTTCCTCAACTTTCACAGTTTTGTTCCCAGCTTAATCTGCTAGTGGGGAATCTAGAATTGTTCATAACACAGAAATATAAAACTCAAGGAATGACTTCTGTCAATATTTATACTCAAAATTAGCATAGAAGACACAAGCTTTACTCTAGGATACCAGTAAACACTTCGTTGTTAACAACATGCAAAGAGAAAAATGTTTAACATGTCATTCAATCAACTAGGAACAAGGCAATTATCCTCAGGATATTAAAATAATAGCTGGTATTAAGGATGCTTAGAAACCAAGCCCAGGCTCCTGGAAGAATGAATAATTCATCCAAGTAACTATGAAAGGTTTTCTTCCTTGTATATGGACACAACCACAGACTGAATGGCTTTAAAATACCAAGAGACATATTTCACGGATTAAATTGGATACCTATTAGGCTGTCCCACAAACCTGATGTCTTCCCAGTAGTTTTACCCCAAATGTGAGGGCTTGTTTATGGTTCAGGCATGCATGAATCAAGACTGAGTATGTCTTTGTTTCAGAAGTTCACAGGGTCCCTTTTCCCCCAGCCATAAGGTTAGTGTCTTTCCATAAATAGCTTTTTGAAATGAAGCTGACTTTTATGATTCTCTACCCATGCTGCCTTATGGGAGAAATTTTATTTCCAACGTTCATAGAATGTGAATTGGACTCATTATTGTCTTCCAACTCATTGTTTAATTGACAGGAAAGTTGCATCTAAATTATCCTGGAAGCATTGGCAGAAGTGGCAAACATAAATTTAACAATGGGTGGATTATTACTATTTAGCATATTTATGGAATTTTAGATTCAGGGAGCATTTTACAAATCTTTTATTAGTTAATCCCTTTCCTTCAGAGTGAGTCTGACAGGTGGTAACCAATGCTTTGGGTTTCAAATTGCCAACATGTGAATATTTTAATGGGGGAGAAATTTTACCTCATTTCTCCTGGCTCCCAAATATACCTACTTTTTTCTTCTCATCACAGACTAAGGTCAGAGGCCTGCAAAGGGAGATTACGCACATCTGAAAAAATCAGTAATAAAAAAGCAATATACTAGATTCTGTCCCATGTAATCTAGTAATGTCAAGGGAGACCTCACCAATGCAGGGTGAAGTGACAGGTTTCTCAACACAAACACAGAACTTATTAGGAAGTAGTTAACTTTCCTACAACCGTGCAGCTAGCTTGAGCTCTTAAATCCTAACAAAGTCACACTTTCTGGACTCATCATTTAATGATGCCAGGGGGTGGTCATTACCTATTTTAAAATGCATGCCAGTATTTTTGTCTTTTGTACAAGGAACACCTAATTTAAACTAGAGAGTTCGTATTTTCTGGTTTTTGTTTTTGAAAACTCACAAGTTAAAAAAAAACACACAAAAAACGCAAGTTCCCTTAAATACCACTTCAAACTTTTTCTTGTAAATGAGAGAGAGAGAGAGAGAGAGAGAGAGAGCAGGGCACCGAAAGCTGCAATGAATCAAAGTCAAACCCTTGACCCAAACCTTCACACAGCCCGAGGCTTCCCAAAGTGACAAACCCAGACAAAATCAACCCCGCATCACCTGAGGCCCGACGCGCCTGGCCGCAGACGCCGAACCTCCTTTCCGAAGGGCCTGGTGGGGGACGCAATCTGCCCAGGTTCTGATCCCTTCGGTCTGCCAGTGACTTTATCCCTCTAATCCCTGCGGGGCGCCCGCCACCCCCTGCGGGCTGTGCGCGTGGGTGGGAGCGCGTCTTAGTGTTGCGGGGAGGGGGAGGGCGGTAGGCAGGAGGGCGGGGGTCCTAAGGTGGAAGGGGGGGTCTGGAAACAAGCTCCCCGCCCCAGCCCACCCCCGGCGGCCCCGGGCTGTCAGCCCAGCTGGAGAGCTGTGGAGGTCAGCAGGAGGAAACCAGGTCACCCTCTCTTTTTAGGGTGCGAAGGCGTGCGGTCAGCCCTACGGTCCCGTAGGCTAGGAAGAGGGTGGGCAGAGACCCCATGGCCACGCCCACCCCGGCGGAGCCCCGCCCCGCCCCGCCCCGCGCTACCTGGCGACGTGGAGACACGCAGGTGGCCGCTCCAGGTCGGGCTGGGGTGGCTTAGCCTGGCGCAGCGCCTTTGCGCAACGGGGTGGGGATGGGGGAGGGGGTGGGGTGGGGGAGAGGTTGGAGGATGGGGTGGGGATGGGGGTGTCCTTCCCCCCCCCCGGCCGAGGGGGCGTGGCAGGACGGGGGAGGACGGGCCCCGCCAGGCCGACGCCCTCTCCTCTCACCCTGGCTCCCCGCGGCTCCCCGCTTTGCCTCTTCCCTCCCGCGCGGGGAGGGGGTTCCGGGTCCCCACCCCATCCTCGCCGCCCGCGGGGACAGTCATCAGGGCGGGGCCCGGAGCCCGGTCCCGGGGAGCCCTGGGCCGACTCCCGGTCCTCCCCGATCTCGTCCCGGGTCTCTTTCCGGGCGCCCAGTCACGGGTGGAACCCGGCTGCAGTCGGTCAGGTGCCCGTGACCCGCCCATCCCGGCGCGGGTCTGGGGGTCACCTCCACACAGCACCCCCTTCCGGCTCCCCCCCACTTCCTATCCTCACCACCCACCTCTGGGAGGGGGCGCCAGGCTGGACCCCACAGCTCCTTCCAGGAGCGCAGACTAAGTATGGGGAAAGTTTCGGGCGGAGTCAGGGGTCGGGCGGGTCTCTGGTCCGGAGGTGGAAGGTGGAGGGGCCATCTGCAGGTTCTGCTGACATCACAGACCGCACGGGGCTCGTGTTCTTTACATGGAGACTCTCGTGGACACCGCAGCCTGCTGCGCGTGCTTTAGTCGGCAGAGCAGGGGATGGGTGTCCGGAACTTCACTGTGTTTTAACAATTGACGTTAGAGCCGAACGAGTGCATTGATACCTTTTCACTATTCACCAAGATGTGGACGGGCACTTCTGAATAACTCAAGAAGTTTCTTTCTAGTGATCTGGATGCTCTAGGTTGACAGTAATCACATGCCTCCTTATTTCCAGAACTTTCAGTCTTTCTATACTCCCCCCCCCCTTCTCCAGTGAGATGAAAGAGGGGTGAAAATAAGATGCAGCAGGATCAATTTGAAGAGCTTTTAACAGCTGGTATAAAACTACCAGAGAGGCACTTCACCAAAGACCTGAAAATTATCTGTAAGCAGGGTTTTCCCATCTTACTTTTTTTTTCCCTTGAGCTTGCTAGATACCACTGGCATCTATTATTTTTTTTTAAGCAGCAGTAACTTGTTTCTAAGAATTATTAAGTAGATTATGTATGTAATGTGGTTAGGATTTTCAGATCATCATGAAACCCTGTTGGCAAAAAAACAAAACAAACAAACAAAACATAGTAAGTAAACACACCGAGGGTATAGGAGAGCAACTTCCGGTGTCACAGACTAAGTAGGTCTATGACCTACCTCCCAGAGGCACACGTTTGAGACAAATTTGACAAGTGCAAGATTAATTAATGGCATCTGAAAAGTTGCCTGCGCACAGAACTATAAAGTACTAAGGAAAGGTCACATTCCAAGGGGCTTGACTTTGGGATTCCTCTTCTGATTTGAACCCTAGAATTATTTCAAGCCTGAAAATGTTTTCTATGGTTGCAATTGTTCCTTGGGGAGCCCATGTCCAATCCATTAGGAAATCCTGATGACTCCATCTTAAGATGTCTCAAATCTAACCGCCAACACTATCACACCCTTCCCCACTGGTGTCTGTTTTTCTCTTCTGAATCTCACCCCACCAATCTGTTACCTATACAGCATTTAGAGCCACCCTTTGAAAATGTGGGTATTAACTGGTGTCAACTTTCTTTGGTACTCAGTGACTCCCACTGTTCTCAAATACAATACAAACTTAACCATGGCCTCTAAGGCCTTATGTGCTTGTCACCTTTCAACACCTTGCCAAGGCCTCTTTGATATTTCTGCTATGGTTTCAATCCTCATATCAAACAAGTTCTTGTGCTCACAAATGCATGAGTACGCACCTATACACACAGTCACTACCTTCTGTGCATCTCTAGAATGAGAGTAGCAAGTTGAACATGGGCTAGTTACAGAGAATGTACTCGGATACCTGGTTGCTAAATTGCTGAGGGATATAAACTATGTTGCAGACTGAATGATTGTGTATCTCTTCTCCCCTCCTATTCCTATGTCAAGTACTAACCCATAAGTGAGACTGTATTTGTAGACAGGACCTTTATGGCTGTAATAAAAGTTAAATAAGGTCATAAAAGAGGGTCTTAATCTGATAGCATTAATGATCTCATAAGAAGTGACACTAGAAAGGAACTCTCTTGCTTTGTCCACTGCATGCAATGAGGGAGTTTTGTGAGCAGAGAGTAAGAAAGCAGCCTTTGGCAAGCCAAGTGGGAGCTCTCACAAGAGTCAAGTGCGAGAAACAAATTTGTGTCACAAAAGGAACCCAGTCTAGGGCATTTTGTTATGTTAGTGCTAGCCATCTAAAACAGACTACAAGATAATCCCCAAAAGTACCCAGTACCACCAATTGTCACAGTACCACTAATTGTTACATGATCACTAATGATCAGTTTAATGAAACTGAAAGAAGACCTCATAGATTATTCTATATTTCTCCTCAGGATTTTCAGAAATTAACAGCAACCTAAAGCACTGTCATCTACTGTTTTCACAATCAGAACTTAAACCTTCTAAAATATTATTTTTTGTAAGAAATGAAAAAAGAGGTAATAAAAATACCAAAGATATGGACAGATAATTTAAACTAGTTGATGGGCTTTATTGGTTACTACTTAGCAATAATATTTAATGGTATGGTAGAAAAATTTCAAAGAGAGGAATGGAAACCTAATTTCCTGAGGTTCTTAAAATAAGACCAAATAAAATTGTGAGGAGTGTATGGTAGAGATAATCTAGTTGTCCAGATGGCCTTTCTGTAGTTACAGCTTTTATGGTTCTTGAAATGTGTGTGTTCTTTATTCTTTTATGAGAAAATAAAGATTTTCTTCTTCCCAGGGGCATGAAGTCACCCTGCAATTTAGTTGTTAAAATATACTGATTATTTTTCTTTGTTACTTCTTGGACACTCATACTTCTTCTAGAAGTTACCTTAGTGCCTGTGTTTTCCCTTTGCATGTATATTTCTGGCTCTAGATTCCAGAGTGTAATCTTGTTACTTACATTTCTTATAATATTCCTGGTAAGATAGTAAATATCAGATTTCATGACATGAAGTAGAGAAGGAACACTGTTGATATTTGGCTATAGTTTTATATCTTTAATGTTGATACTTCTCTCCCCCCTCTCTCTCTCCCCCCTCCCCCGCCCTCAATCTTGGCAGCTGCAGTTGAATGAACTATTGCCAAAAGGAATCTGGAAATGTATTTATAGATTCTGCAAAGGTGGCTTGTAAATTCTCTAACTAAATTCTCATGTATTGTGCAAAAGATTGATTTTATTTTCATATTAACAAAGTCTCAAAGTTAGAAAGATTTGTGTTTTTACAGTACTGTGCTTCTGGTTTTTATTACAAAAGAAAACACGGGATAGAAAAAATTGTTTCTCCATTAAAAGATTGCCTGGATGGATTTTTGTACATGTGGGTGCCATCTTTTTTTTCCTTCCATAAAAGAGGACAAGACTTTGATTATAAAGATTCTGTCTCTTCTGCTTTCTGAATATACAGTGCACATCGTGCACAATATATTATTTTATGCTGTGAAAGTATTTATTTCCACTATAATATGCTTTGTAAGTAGAAACTGTGGAGCCTGGGATTTATTGCACAGGTTTCCTGAAATTCTGAAACTTTAACATTAGAGTGAATATTTGACCTTGGGAGGATATTCCAAGCCTGAAGTGATGATACCTATAAATATCAAGTACCATTAAGTTAAGATCTTGCCTTCTTCTCCCAAGTATTCCATTATTTCCTGGATAGAATAATTACTGAGGGCAGAAAAATTTGTATGCTTTTAGGCTCTGTGTACTTTGGCCTTCTTCCCTAATGTATTCATATCTTTCTAACCTTTCTCTTGATCTTCATTATGAGAGGGTATACATTGTTTGTGCTTTAAAAATTTATGCCATTGTAATCATGTCACTTCTGTACTTAAAAATGTGGCTGCTCTCACACCTAGAATGAATTCTCTCAATATGGGGAACAAGGCATGTTAGGAAAGCCTATACTTAATTCTCTTACCTCTTTTGCAACATTTTGGGTTGTTGCAGTGGAGAAAGCTCTAATAACTGATTTTCATCTTCCTCCTCACAATTCATTGAATAGAATTTATCTCATGGTCCAAGTGTATTTAGAAGAGAGGTTTTCCATATAGTGTGCAAGTGGTAAACTCCTTCATATTAGTATAGATTAGCTATGCCTATCTTTATCTGAAATGGGTTGTTTTTTTAACAATGGATTTATCTCAGAGCTCATAATTATTCAAAAGGGTTTGACACTTAAGTAAATTTATGACCAGTGAAATTAAGTTATTGTCCACTAAAGGATAATTGGTAGCTCAAGGATACTCAAGGATTGCTTTAAATAAAATGGATTCTTGGGGCAGGGAAGGTGGCTCAGTGGTAGAGTGCTTGCCTTGCATGTATGAGGCCCTGGGTTCGATTCCTTAGTTCCACATAAGCAAAAAGGAAAAAGCCGGAAGTGGCGCTGTGGCTCAAGAGGTAGAGCGCTAGCCTTGAGCTGAAGAGCTGAGGGACAGCGCCCAGGCCCAGAGTTCAGGCCCACGACTGGACCCCCCCCTTAAAAAAATAAAATGGATTCTTTTGGCAAGGGGGACATAGTTGAATATATTTTCATAATGCCTGTCAGCTTCCTTCAGAAAATGTTACTTTGCTATTTTGTCTAACCTCTCAACTTTGGCAAGTGGAGCAAGAGGGCAAGAAAACTTCTCTCAGAACTCTATTGCATTATAAAATCAGTCCCTGCTTAATGTCAGTGGCTCATACCTGTAATTCCTACCTAAATGGGAGATAGAGATGGTGAATGTGACAATTCAAGGTCAATTTGGGAAAAAAAGTTCACCATAGTTCATCTTAAACAACAACAACAACAACAAAACCCAGACATGATACAGCTTTCTTCAGCAGGAAGCGCAAATAGGAGGATCACAGCCTACCCTGGTATGGGAAAAATGGAGATCCTATCTCAGAATATCCATAACAGTAAGGGATGGAAGCATGACTCAAGTGGTAGAGTGCCTGCTTAGGAAGCACAGAGTGGATTCTGAGTTCAAACAAGAATGCCACCACCAACAAAATTACAGCCAAGCTAGAGGGCTGAATGTTATGATATTATTGATATTTAACTATTTTGTACTTAACTAAAACAATTTTATATAGTGTATCCTTAGAATTAATATTAGGTAGAAAAATAACTACTATATTGACATTTCTCTTATTTTTTCTAACATTAGGTCTTCCAATGGGAACTTTGAGCTCATTTCAAGTAAGGAATACATGACATAGAATTTTGTATTGTAGTGAAAGTATTTGGCAGGATTCAATATCCCTTGGCTGAAAACTCTAAAAAATTATGTATAGAAGAAATGTATCTGTGTATAAGAAACAGCATACATGACAAATTTACAGTTAATAATACTCAAAGTTGAAAAGCTAGA